CCAGAACCTCCATTGTTGTTTGAGAATGCATGTAGGATTGAGCTTCTCCACATTCTGTTGCAAATCAATTCAAATTCATATTCTTTTGGCCTGCCTCTCCCTCTAAGCAAAATATCAGAGCCACTGCTTTGGATCTGAGAGCAGGGACAATGAACCACTTCTCTTAGAGTACCATTCCTGCTCTAATGAGGAGGGCAATGGGAAGGGGTGGTAGCCTCTTGTCTTCTCAGCTTTCTTCTCCCAGTGTGAAATATTCTCCCTATGAGCAAACTGTGGTGAGGGTAATTGGTCCCAGTATTATCAGCCCTCTTTGCCTGGGATAGAACCAGTGGGGCTAAAAAAGGAGCTGGACGGAAGAAGGGAGCCCCTGACCTCATGACCACACTTGTCTAAAAATTAGCCTTTGCAGCAGGTGGCTAGGGGAGGGTGAGAAGTGTTGGCAGCCTGTCGATCCCAGAGAGATACTCTAGTGCTTGACTGGTAGTTTGGTATAGAGGGAGCCCCCTCTGAAGTGGAGTTTCCATTGTGCTGAGCCATGGGGGAGGAGCAAGGGAGGGACTAGACCCTGACTCAAGTGACATAGGTGCTCACTGTTCTGTCCAAGTTTTATTAGATTTTCTTAAATAAATGTTTTCTCAATTTCTGTATTTCCTTGGGCATTTTACAGAGATTTTAAAATAGTTATTGTTATTTAAAATAATCTTGACCAATTAAGGTTGTTTTTGGGGGAGTTAGTTTGCAGAATTCTTCATATTGCCATTCTAGAAGTCATCTCTCTCTAATTATCTTTGGATGAAACTTAGCTGATTAGGGTAAAGGAAATAAATCGGTGTAAATACAAGGAGTTAGAACAAACCTGAAGTCTAACTAATTTGTATATTAGTAGTAATTATTATTTACAGATAGATTATTTGTAGCTCATTAACTGCAAACTTGCTTCATTTGTGTTATAACCCATTAATCAAAAAAATATGTTGAGTGATGAGACTCTAATGTGGTTTGACTTTTTAAATAAATTCCAAGATTTGGATATCAAATTCCAGTGGAGCATTAAATAAGCACTTTAGAGGATTGAAGAATTGGTGATTATATACATTTTCTATAATGCAAATACTTTAGTATCTTAAATGTCAGTGTGCTTATCTACCCAGAGTCTGGGTAGGTTTTAATATGTCTGCTCGACACCGTATCTCATGTTTGCCGAACTGGCACAGTAAGAAATTATTTTATCTTATAGAACACATAATCTCTGATTTAATTAGCCAAGAAGTATTTATAGAGTATCTACTGCCTCAAAAGTCACTGTGCTACAAGATACAGCAAACTCCACAAATGTAGTCTAAGACACCTGTCTCCAAGAAGCTAATTACTGAGCTGGTAAGGTATTCTCTAAACACAAGAAAAAATAATTTCTAACTCAAGATAGCAGAGTTCAATGACAGATGAGTGGTACTAAGGGATTCAGAGGACAGTCAGGCCCTTTAGGGTTAAAGTCATATTAACCCTAAAGTTAAAACAGTGGCTTAGGGCTTCCCTGGTGGCGCAGTGGTTGGGAGTCCGCCTGCCGATGCAGGGGACGCGGGTTCATGCCCCGGTCCGGGAGGATCCCACATGCTGCGGAGCGGCTGGGCCCGTGAGCCATGGCCGCTGAGCCTGCGTGTGCGGAGCCTGTGCTCCGCAACGGGAGAGGCCAAAACAGTGAGAGGCCCGCATACCACAAAAAAAATACAAAAAAACAAAAAAACAAACAAAAAAAAACAACAGTGGCTTAAAACAATAGCATTTTTTCCCTCTTCCTCATAAATCTTCAATTTGAAGATTTGGGCAAGACTCCTGGGAAAAGCTTGTCTCTACTCCATGCAGTGTTAGCTGCGGAGTAGCTGGTGGGTAATAATGATTAGCAGAGGGCTGGAGGATTTGCTTCCAAGATGGTGCCCTCATGTGACTAGTGAGATGGTGCTGGCTTTTCAAGGTGCTGAGAGCCAGAGATCTCGGTTTCTCACCTGGAAAGTTCTAAAGAGGGAGCAAGGAAAATGAGGACTTAAAGAGGTCATTGGAATCACCTACATTAGAATCCAAGAATACTAGAATTTGGGGGAAAGAAATCAAATTGCAAACAGAGGAGGAAACAGCATTGAAGCAGGTTCATCTCTAGTCCAGAATGTAAATGCTTAAAGGCAATAGAGAGATTGGTTGGTAACCAGAGAGACAGTTCAATCAAATAAAGGCTTTCTTTTAAGCTAAGAGAGATCATTTATCATAGAAAGCTGAAGAGAAAGAAGAACATTCAGTATGTAGCCTGCATTAGACTGGGTTTCTAATAGTACTGCATTTGAATACTACCTAAGGAATTTCTTGTACTCTTTTGGGGTCTTGGTTTGTTGAGATGCTTCTGTGCCTCCAAGAAAAGAGAGTCAGATTTTTACAGCAGTCCATCTTGAACTAACCTGAATCCAGTACTTTCAGAAGAGAGTAAGTAGTTCTCTATTCCTCTCCCTTTGGAGAATCGTTCCCCTTGGAGATTAAGAGAAGGCTGAGTACTTCTTGGCCTCAAGCAAAATAGAATATGGCTGAAGGGACAACCAAAAGTATAACACTGAGTGGAAATTTGCACTGAAATTGCAATCATGTTCTCCAAAGAGCTATGTGACTTTATTCATAATCATTTATTGGGTAGTCATAGCTACCTGAGACTGGAAAGCCCATAGAGGACCCTGGTGATAATTTGCCTATTTACTGGCAAGAGGTCTCATTGCTAGGAGAGATGGCTAGAAGGCAGCTTAAGCGACCTACAATTGGGAGCCACCACTTCTAAGAGCAACTGCTGCTGCTGAGAGTTCCTGCTACAGAGGCTCCAGGGTGTACTGTTCAGTGGGGACCAACTTCAGCTCCTGACGGTTGGCATTGATGGGAACAGGCTCAACTGGGCTTTTCCTAGGGACACCACTAATTCGGCTGGTGCTGTCAATAGATACTGCTGTGAGCCACTGAGAGAAAACTCTCCAGGGGGCTGAATTTAGATTCAAAAATTGGGAGCATTCTTTGCAGGCCAGTGGTAAGCACTGGTCTTAACATTGGTGGGAAGAGCAGATAGTATGGTTGAAAGAGCATGAGCCTTGGAGCCTATTAGAGTTGGCTTTGTATCCTTGCTCTGATACATACTTTTGTGTCCACTGATGATTTGTCTCAGTTTCCTTGTCACCAACATTTAGAAAAATCATGTTAGGATGTTACAGAGAGGGCTGAATGAGATGAGATAATACAGGCGATACCACTGGTGCATGGTATGTTCTCAGATTGTGATAGCCAGCAGTGTTCTTTCCTATCTGAACCCCACGTGAAATGGAAAGCATGAAACTCTAAGGCACCCAGCCAGTTATTGAATCCTTGAATTATAACTTGTTTCTTGTACTCCTATGGAAATAATCTAGAAGAGTGTTGTTTGGGAAATTTGTTAAATAAAGTATGAGAAGCAGGCCCTGTGCCTGTGAGAGCTAGAACTCTATTATAAGGAGGTGGACTTGGGATTGATCCTAGAAATTTCATGTGCTATAGAAGCTGGCATACCCATTCTATTTTTCTTTCTTTCTTTTTCTTTCTTTCTTCCTCCCTCCCTCCCTTCCTCTCTTTCTCACTCCCTCCCTTCCTCTCCCTCCCTTCCTCTCTCTCTCTCTCTCTCTCTCTGTCTCACTCTCTCCCTCCCTCTCTCCCTCACCCCCTTTCCTTCTTTATTTATTGCTGCGTCGGGTCTTCGCAGCTGTGCATGGTCTTTTTCTAGTTGCGGTGAGCGGGGGCCACTGCTTGTTGTGGTGCACAGGCCTCCCATTGCCGTGGCCTCTCTTTGCGGCACAGCATGGGGTCTAGGCACGTGGGCTTCAGTAGTTGCAGCATGTAGGCTCTGTAGTTGTGGCTCATGGGCTCTAGAGTGCAGGCTCTGTAGTTGTGGTGCATGGGCTTAGTTGCTCTGTGGCATGTGGGATCTTCCCAGACCAGGGCTCAAATCCATGTCCCCTGCATTGGCAGGGAGCTTCTTAACCAATGCTCCACCACGGAAGTCCTCTATGTATTTCTAATGATGACTTCAGGGCAATTATCATTAAACTGTTGAAAGAATTACAGTCACAAAGGATTTTGTTTCTGGAAAATATTTTCAACATAAGCCTCCTTCAACTCATGTATAAAAGATGCAGGCCAAATTTCTCCTTTAAAAATCTACTGCTTGATTAATTTCCCCTTGCCCAAGTTGTGTAATAGCTAGATCACTTTACAATTCAAAATCTGAGCCTTCCAAAGATGCTTCTTGATTTGATGTCCTAGGTGGCTGAGAAGAAACGGACATTAAGGGATAGCTCGTGGCTTCCTTCAACAGGGTGGAGAATGTCAATATGCACCTGACATTTAAGACTCATCTTTTTCTGATTATAGATACAAATCATGTGACAGTGGCAAGTAACTCATTCTTACACATATCCAGTGCTCAGTTACGTCAGGGCTCAAAGCTGATTGGTGCCTCTGTGACTGGCATTTCAGAGGTGTATTAGTTTCGGTCCTATATTGCCTTTCTCTTTTAACTCCAGCCTCAAAGGAATTTAAACAATTTGGCTGGTGGGTAAAGGGAAAGTAATTACTCACTGTATATATAATCATTTACACATTCAGAACCCCCAAAATGTGCCAGTTTTTCACAGCTCGAATTTTGCACATAATTCATTTTCTAAAGATAAAATGACACATTTCAAAAAATATTGCAAAAAACATGGATGTGAGCATTTGAAACATTGTTATATAATAAATATCCATAAAGTTCCTACAAGTACTGCTATTTTTGCTGTAGCATCAAATCACTGATCCACCAAGGCACAGTTTTGAACATTACAAAATATTTTCATCTAGTGCTTGGTACAGATAAAAATACTTTACAACTAAAATGTTTTTCACATATACTGCATTGTTAATACACTCAAGCTCAGTGAATTAGATTCAGATATTTGTTTTGCAAATATTTATTGAGTCCATTTTGTGCCAAGCCTTGAACCAGCACTGCATTTTAAAAGGTCTCATTATATCTGGATGTACAAACAATAAATTTTAGACACAAAAATAAAATACAGTGTTATGCATATTATAAAAGAAATAGTGTGTAGGGATGGTGAATTTTATGAGGTTTTAGACTGAAGAGTCAAGGAAGGACTCCCTAGGTTTTAGGTGAAGTGACATTTAAGGTGAGTATGCTGTGTAATATCACAATTACTAAGCATCTCACCTGAGGCCAGGTGAAATGAGATACTGGCATTTGCAAACTTGCTAATACTTGAGAGATAAAGTCCAGTGGTAACTATAAGGGCTGTGGAGTTGGCAGGCTCAACCAAACCAACCACTTATTCAGGGCATAATGTGCAACTCAAGAGGCCTCTCTCACGGACTTAAAGAGATCCTGCACTACCACAGACAGAAGGCAGATTGGGCTGAAAATCAGGCCCAGGACCTGACTGTGAAAAACAAATTACAGAGAAGCCGTAATATGTAGCCCCACCAAATCTCATACGCCAAAGTCAAGGTTTGATAGGGAACGCATGGGATACTGGGGCATAGAATGGGGACATCTAGATGGAAGAATTGAGTGCTCTGGGTCCTCAGAATCCCTTGAACCCTCTGGGCCTTCAGAAGTGGTCCATTATTCCTTGCCTAAAAATACTACAAAGGCTTCCCTTGAGGCAGACGCCTTGCAAGTTGGAAACATTTCTTTCTCAAGATTTGTCTCCACCTCCTTCATGACATCCAGGTCAATAACCAGGATCAACTCCCCAAACGGCCCAACTATAAAATAATGTTGTGAAGGATAAAAGAAAACATATATAGGTTTTAGTTTTATATTGCTGCTGTAGCCAGTTACCACACATTTAAAAAATTCAAGAATACAATTTACTGTTTTACATTTCTGTAGATCAGAAGTCTGGCAGAGCCTCAGGGGTTAAAATCAAGTTGTCAGCAGGGCTGCAGTCCTTTTAGAGGCTAGAGGGTAGGATCCGTTTCCTTGCCTTTTCTAGATTTTAGAGGCCACCCACATTCCTTGACTCAGGGCCCCTGCCTCCTTCTTCAAAACCAGCAATGGCAGGTTAAGTCCTTCTCACTTCGTATCACTCTGATCTTCTCTTGCGCTTCCATCTTCTACTTCTTGGACCCTTATTATATTGGGCCCACATAACCCATATAATCTAGGATGATCTCCCTGTTTCGCAGTTGGCTGATCCGCAACCTGCATTCCATCTGTAACCTTAACTCCCCTTTGCCATATAATGTAGCAATTCACAGATTCCGGAGATTAGGATGTGGCCATTACTAGGTCATTATTCTGCTTACCACAATATGTAGAGATGCTAAGATAAGTTTCAGGTACATAGGAAATGCTCAGTAAATGTTTGCTGTTATTTTCTGCCTCTGTTCCTGGGCTTCTGCTTGCAGGTGGAAAAAAACACAACCATGAAAACCAGAGGTATCTCAAACCCAATGCGCTCCCCTGCCATCAGTGATATTTCTCCTTCTACTTACTTCTCTGATGTTCCCAAGCTACCATTTTCCCTCAGCCCTTTCCCCAGTCTCAATGTCCTTACTACCAGCAGATGTGCCTTTGTAACCTACTTCAACAAAAACTGAAGCCATCTGGCTTGAACTGTACCATCCTGTGGTGTTCCCACCTCCAAGTTTACCTACCTCTGCTCCCATTCTTGGATCTTTCCCTATGGTCTTGGAGGATTAGAGGTACTCATGGTCAACTCTTCCAACCCATACACTTGGCCTCCCATCAGCTTGAGGACATTGCTCCATCCTCTCTTCTCCCTACTTTTTAAAAAAATTTTTACTGAAGTATAGTTGGTACACAATGTTGTATTAATTTCTGCTGTACAGCAAAGTGACTCAGTTATACATATACATATATATATATTCTTTTTCATATTCTCTTCCATTATGGATTATAAGATATTGAATATACTTCCCTGTGCCATACAGTAGGACCCTGTTGTTTACCCATCCTATATACAATAGTCTGTATCTGCTAATCCCAAACTCCTAATCCTTCCCTCCTCCACCCCCTCTCCCCCTTGGCAACCACAAGTCTGTTCTCTATGAGTCTTTTTTTGTTTCATAGATATGTTGATTCGTGTCATATTTTAGATCCCACATTTAAGTATATCATATGGTATTTGTCTTTCTCTTTCTGACTTACCTCACTTAGTGTGATAATCTCTGTCCATCCATGCTGCTGGAAATGGCATTGTTTCATTCTTTTTAATGGCTGAGTAATATTCCCTCATACATACATACACACACACACACACACACACACACACACACACACACACACACACATCTTCTTTATCCATTCATCTGTTGATGGACATTTAGGCTGTTTCCATGTCTTGGCTATTGTAAGTAGTGCTGCTATGAACATAGGGGTACATATATCTTTTTGAATTGTAGTTTTGTCTGTGTATATGCCCAGGAGTGAGATTTCTGGATCATGTGGCAACTTTATTTTTAGTCTTTTCAGGAATCTCCATACTGTTCTCCATAGTGGCTGCACCAATTTACATTCCCACCAACAGTGTAAGAGGGTTCCCATTTCTCCACACTCTCGCCAGCATTTATTAATTGCAGACTTTTTTAATGATGGCCATTCTGACCAGTGTGAGGTGGTACCTCACTGTAGTTTTGATTTGCATTTCTCTAATAATTAGCAATGATGTCTTCTCTCTACTTTTTCTCTGTACTTTACTGTTGCATATTACCTTCTCCTTGAGTTGCTGTCTATAATTTCTTGCTCTGCACAGCAGGCTTCTCTGGCACTATTTTCTCCCAGTTCTATTTCTACCTCTCTCATCACTTCTTGATCCCCTTCAAAGTCTCCTTTTCCTCCACGTACCCCTTAATCTATGGGATATCCCAGATCTTGTCTTTGGTCCCTACTGTTCTTATTTCATTGTCATTTTTTCTCCATCTGATAAATGGTGCTCACTTTGTTCATCCTTCTAAGACTCAGCAACTTCAGGAAGCCTTTCATTGACCTCTCCTCAATGCCTTTCCTCTGAGTTTCCATAGCACTCGTGAGTATCTGCATCTTAGAACTTATATACTATAATGTTGAAATTGTATCTTTGCTGGTCTGTCTTCCCTAATGTAGTATAATCTCCACCTGGATGGAGTATTTTAGTCATCTTTCTTTCTCTGGTACCAACTACAGAGGCTGGCACACAATTAACTCTCAATATAAATTTGGTGAGGTTTTGAAAATAAAAAACTAATGGTGAATTTATAAGGTCCTGGACTTAATCTTTCTTGTCCACTAGATCTACCTTCTGCTGAAAGATGTATGTTCTGTTATATTGAACATCCTCTGTAAAGTAAAATAACATTTTCTAACAAATTTCACTAGTGTCATTCTACTTTGAGTATATGCTTAACAAAGCAAAAGAAACTTTGTTAGGCTAGTTATAAATATAAACAATTTGATGTAAAGTAAATTCCAATACTGGTTCTGATTTCTGTATCTAAAATGCTTCCATTGCTTGCTCCACACATTTTTGGAAGCCCATTTATGGAAACATTCTCATATTTGCACAGTGTTTATGTGGATCTGAATGGCCACAATATGGGTTTTTGTAATGGACGGCTGATTAAATGCTCTGGAAGTCCAGAAATAAGGTCAGATTTGCACAATACTTACTGTATACAGCCTCCATTCAATAGGTTGTTTCATTGACAATGAAATTTGGTAACTTAGTTCTTAAATATCCTATTCATGTCAGGAGATCACGGAGGAGTAGACAGCTTTTTAAAATTTCTGACCCTCCTCTTAGCTCTGCAGTAAAATTATTAAGGTCTCCTGGGATGGTTGCTCTGTTTGACTTGTAAGGGGCATATGTTTTATTGGTGGATGAAGTGATGCATCCTTATGCCAAGTGTAATTTTCCAAAGTTCTTTGTGTAACAGATGTTACACAAACAAGAGAAGGCACTTGGAATAAATAGCAACATACAAATGCAGCTTCCTTTGGAGCTTTTCAAAACTGGGAAATACTGAGTCAGGAAAAAGAAAGAGTTCAGTAGAATCAGTTTGTGGTTCAACCTATTTACTGGGTCATCCTTTTCTAAATCAAGCCATATAGAGCAATCCATCTACACAATACTGGATGGCTTCAAAGAATAGTGGAAACATATTTAGGTCACCATGGAGTAACTCATGTTTTTTTTTACTTAGCATCGCAGGATGGAAATTGTCCCAGCTTTGTCAGTACAGGAAGCACTCAATAAATATTTGATGAAATAAATCCAGGTCAGACTCTGTCCCCAGTGCTAGGATAAAAAGTTAAATAAGACACATTCCACGCTGGAGGAGGTCACAGTTTGGCAGAAAAATCAAAGAAGCTAACAAAAGGGGATAATAAAATGTGATAGAAGCAAAGTGCTACGGAAGCGTAGTAAAGGGTAAGATTAATTGTTAGGTGGAATAAGAAAAGGTGACATCCTTCAAGTCCCAGTAGGCAGAGAAGCCAGGGGATAAGGGAGAGAAGAAAGGATGTTTCAGGAAGCATCTATGAGGTCTCAATGAGAGAGCATGGAGTATATTCCTGGAACTCTATGTAGTTTGGGCTAAACAAAGATGGTGAAGGGTGAGGGGTGGGAATAAATTAGGTCTGGAACGGCAGGTTGAGGTTGGGTTGTGAAAAGCATCATAAATCGTGGAAAGGAGTTTGCATTTCATTTTCCCCACTGAAAACCTCAATTTTTAAAGATTTATGTTGCCTGTACGACTAGGTTTTCCAAAATCTGTTCCTGGGCATGCTAGTTTTACAGACTGTTAATAGGTGGTAAACGAAAACTCCTATTCAGCTTTTAGTTGAAGGTGGAAAGGTAATTGTCTGGAGCAGATAGTATGGAGGCCACTTGAGAGAGAGTTTCCTGAAATGTGTACAGTCTATGAATGTCTTAAACCAAATTAGACTGCATAGCTAGACCCTATAGTTCTGTCTCTTCCTCGAATGGATTTTACCATTCTGCCCTTCGGCAAAATGAGACTGGCCTGCACTGAGAATTGTATTAGGAAATTATTTGATGTGACATTTATGTGTGCTTCCTCTGAATAGCTGGTTTGTCTTTATCTTAAAGGCAATATAAGTGTTGTAATTGATTGTGTGTCCTTTTTTGTCAAACACTAGGAAGCCTAGAGCCAAGTTTGTGGTTCACCTACAAACGAGGGTCCTCAGGGCATGCATTCTTGGGTAATGACTGAACCCAGGATTCTGTTTGACTTCCTACATTCATATTCCGTTTGCTAAAACGCCTTCATCTACTTATTTGATCATTTTGCAAGCATTTTGCAACGTCTCTCTGATCTTTGTGGGGGCGGCGGGGGAAAGCTGAGAAGAGAGTGAGCATATATCACTTATCACAGTACCTGGCGTACAGTACATATGAAATGAGGTCTTTTTTCTTTTATTACGATTTTTTATCAGTCTCACCTACTCCACTGCACCATCCTCCATGTTGACAGAAATGGAAAGGTAGCATATATAACAGAAATTGTTTTCAAATGCTATTTTCATGATCTCAAGTCCTTTAAGCACAAAATTAAATGGACAGATATGAGGTGAACAGTCACCAACTGCAAGTTCCTAAACCTTGTGCTGAAAAAGAGACAAGTCAGTAAGTCAAAGAGATGGTAAATGGAGCTTCTAATCTGATGAGGGAGATAGGATAGCACTATGGGCCTTGGGATCCTCATCTGTAAAATGGGAATAATAATACAGCCTAATTTATGGAGTCATTGTATGGATTCTGACTTTATATCAGTAAAGTGACAAGAATAATGCCTGGCACATAATACTCAGTTAATATTTATTATTGCTGTAAATTATAGTTCATGTGGGCACCCCCAGAATGTACAGTCATTAAGGGATCTAAAAATTCAAACAAGGGGGAAATCACTTCTAGCTGAAGTCATCCAGGAAGGCTTCCCAGAGGAGGTGAGATTTGAACAAGACCTTAAAGGATGGAGATAATTCAACTAGGCAGAGAGGAGTAAGGGGAGTTGATCCCTTTGGGAACATCTCCCCCCACCAAAAAAGAAAAGGTAGAGAGGAAGGATATATCCCATCAGGAAGAGACCTCAGGAGAGCAGAGGACTCATAAAGGGGGTTCATGGGTGGCAGGGCTGGCACAGGCCCCTGTCCTATTGTATCCTCGCTGTCCACAGAGTCAGCACTAATGCCCTGCCTCACGATGGGCTCCTCCCCAACTATTCCCCTGAAAGAAAATCCACGCTGTTCTCTGAGAGACATCGGAACATCCTTCTGAATCCTTTATCTACCTCGTAGCCAGCAGGAAAATTACTTCAGGGTGTGATGATTACAGGGAGCTCCAGAGACCCTGTCCATTCTCCCTGTAAATTCCTACACAGGGACTGAAAAAACAGTGATTCTATTTTGGGCAGTAGAGTGCTTAGGAAGAAAAGTGCAGGAAATGTGAAATGAGAAGGTGGCAGAATTCCCATCTGTGCAGACACCGAAAGGCCTTTATTACAGAACTTGAGAGAGAAACTCGGTGAGTTCCCGCCCTGATGGCTGGATGGGCTCCAGCGTGGAGGCTGCAGAAGGCCACAGCCAAAATGGCTGCAATGATTTCAGAGACAAGGGTTCAAGGCTCCTTTCTCACACTGATCTGTTTGAAGAGAAGAAAGTGTGTTTTTAAAGATGTCCCATAGTCTGGGATTTCTAGAGCCCTTAAGGTTTGGAAGGGAGGGAAAAAAATCCCATCAGCTCAAAGATGTTAATTTCGATAATTAAC